AGCCCAGGAGTTGGAGGTTGCTGTGAGCTGTAATGCCACGGCACTCTACCCAGGGGGACAGCTTGAGGCTCTGTCTCAAAAAAAAAAAAAAAATTGTGGTAAAATACACGTAACATAAAATTTTCCATTCTAATCATTTTGTAATTTCCAAGTTCTGTGGTTCCCCAGTGTCTTTGGGGGACGTCTGAGCTGGGGTGGACTTCTCCCTCCCTCCCTTCCCGCTCTGAGCACTCAGTGGGTAAGTCTCCAGCTTCCCAGGCAGTATCTAACGCAGACTGACACAGTCTGAATTTCATTTCCTTTGTTTCCCACGCAAGAAGGAATTAATGCTGAGCGGTGCCTGTGGCTCAGTGAGTAGGGCGCCGGCCCCATATACCGAGGGTGGCGGGTTCAAACCCCGCCCAGGCCAATCTGCAACAAAAAATAGCTGGGCGCTGTGGTGGGCACCTGTAGTCCCAGCCACTCGGGAGGCTGAGGCAAGAAAATGCCTAAGCCCAGGAGCTGGGGGGTGCTGTGAGCTGTGATGCCATGGCACCCTACTGAGGGTGACAAAATAAGACTCTGTCTCTAAAAAAAGGAGAAGGAATTAATGCTTATTTTTCCCAAGGGCAATAAGTCCTGATATCTTACTTACCTCCCCACTCCCAAATTCATGGTGACGTATGAACACGTATTTTCTTCCCTGGCACCTTGCTGCTTGTGTGGAGGGTAAAGCCTTAAAGATCAGGTTGATGGCTTTGAATGCTGTCTTGAATGCTTTCTTTTTAGCAATTTCCAGAGTTTGTTTGTTTGTTTTGAGACAGAGTCTCACTCTGTCACCCTGGAGTGCATGAAGTCATAGCTCAGGACAACCTCACACTCTTAGGCTCAAGAGATTCTCTTGCCTTAGGCTCCCAAATAGCTGGGACCATAGGCACCTGCTAGGAAGCTCAGCTAGTTTTCTGGGGTAGGTTTTTTTTTCTATTTTTAGTAAAGACAATGACTTGTTCTTGCTCAGGCTGGTCTTGAACTCTTGAGCTCAAGCAATCCACCGACCTCGGCCTCCCAGAGTGTGAGCTACTGTGCCCTGCCCATATGTTTTTAAAGTATTTTTTTTTTTTTTGAGACAGAGTCTCACTATGTCGCCCTGGGTAGAGTGCTTTGACATCATAGCTCACAGCAACCTTTAACTCTTGGGCTCAAGCGATTCTCTTGCCTCGGTCTCCCAAGTAGCTGGGACTACAGGTGCCTGCCACAACCCCGGCTATTTTTAGAGACCGGGTCTCTCACACTGGCTCAGGCTGGTCTCGAACCTGTGAACTCAGGCAATCCACCTGCCTCGGCCTCCCAGAGTGCTGGGTTTACAGGCGTGAGCCACCGCGCGTGACAGATGACAGTGTTCTTAATGCCATGAGTTTGCAGGCCATCCCTTGGTTATTCACACGTAGGCAGAGAAAAATGTGTGGCCCAGACAGCCTGGGATAGGCTCATGTTTTGCGTCAGAATAGGAGAGGTGGAAGCTCCAGGGGAGAGGACCAGCTGCCCAGGACAGCGGCCAGGGCCGGAGGGAAGGAAGCCGGGCCGCGGCCCCGCCCCCACCCCAATTATAGTGTGGGCCAGGCCGCACCTCCCGCCCGCCTGCAGGTGTTGGTCGCCAGACCCTGACCATGCCCGCCGACCTCAGCGGCACCTGGAACCTGCTGCACAGCGACAACTTCGAGGGCTACATGCTGGCCCTAGGTAGGGCGGGAGGGGCCTGCGCGGGGGGTTCTGTCCGTCCCTGTGCTTCTGTCCTCCCGCACTCCCCCCGTCGGTCCTCAGCCTCTTCGTGCATCTGTCTGTCGGCACACCTATCCCCAGGTCCCCGCTTCCTCCGTCTCTCAGCCCATCTGTCCCCCTCCAGGGGCCTTCAGTGACCTAGTCCCCGGTGTCCTTCCATCCTCCTGCCTGTCGCCACCGCCCTGTGGCCAAGGCACAGGTCCCGCCGCGGAATCCTAAGGAGGCGGAGTGGCAGGTGGCACCCACCACCTCGCGGGACTCTGGGGACTGAAAACCCCTGCTGGGACCTTGCCCACCTCTGCTTGCACCCGCGGCGAGGTCCCTGACCGGAGCCGGCCGAGGACGCAGGTGCCCGACTCTGCCGCTGGCTGCGCACGTTTGCCGAGTCCCCCGCGAGGGCGCAGGGCTGAACAGCCGCTCTGCCTCCCCGCCAGCCTCGGAAAAGGGTCCCCCGCCTGAGAACAGCCTCCTCGCCTTGCGCGCGGGCTCCCAGTTTGTCCTGCCCTCGGTCTCACTCCTCAGATCCGACGGATTTGAGCACCTACCGTGTGCCAAACGCTTTGCCTGCCTGGCGCGGGCGGCGGCGCTTCGGATCCTGGGCCTCAGCCTCCCGAGTAGCTGGGACTTCTGCGGGGCGGCCAGAGCTGCTGGGGCACTAAGTGACACGGGGCCTCAGTTTGCCCATCTGTATGTAGATTGAGGAGGAGCGTCTGCCACGGATTTTTTTCCCTTTTGTTAAAAATTGTAGTAAAGGCTCGGCGCCTATAGCTCAACCGGCTAAGGCGCCAGCCACGTACACCTAAGGTGGCGGGTTCGAATCCCCAGCCCGGACCCGCCAAACAAC